AGGTTGTTGACGGACACCAATGTGTCCGGATGATTAGGTCCCAGTTGCGCTTCACTGCCTGCCAAATCTCTTCTGTAAAGGCCTTCGGCCTCGTCGAGCTTGCCCTGGTTCTCCAGCACCAACGTAAGGTTGTTGACAGACCTCAACGTGTCCAGATGCATAGGCCCGAGCAGCGTCTCCCGTCCCTCTAAAGCTTTCCTGCAATTCACCTCAGCCTCTTCCAGTTTCCCCCGCTGCCTCAAGACTAACCCGAGCTTGTTCACGGATTCCAGGGTCTCTGCATGCATCTCTCCCAGTACCCTTTCGCGTTCAGTCATAGCTCTTCTGCACAAAGTCTCTGCCTCCGGCAGCTTTCCTGCAAAATCCAGCATATTCGCGAGATTGTGGACCTCTCTGAGGGTCGCCGTTTCGCTGGTCGCCAGGACTCGCCGGCACAGTGGCTCCGCCTCGGCATAGTCACCGCGCGCCGTCAGCACGTTGGCCAACCTCGGAGCGATGGGGGGCGCAAGGGCCGAAATTTTGCAGTATTCCAAAAGAATGCTGAAAATGAGTGGAAATTGACATCGACTATCTGCTTTAGTTCATAATTTCGATTAATTACATTACTTTGTCTGGTTGGTGAAAAGACCAAGGCCCCAGCCGGCTTGATGCCTTGAGGGTTTCAAAATGCTCTGATCCCAGTCTCTCTTCGATAGCTTCGGCGCGGCGGCGGACCCTTGGCTAGAGAAAAACTCACAGCCAATGGATGTGAAGGAACCATCTTGAAAGCTGTGTGCAGTTTTGAGATATTCTTCTAAATTTGAAGGAGTGCCATGAAGCCTTGTGATGACTGAGTGTGGAATGCAATTATCATTACCAAATTTCAAGGAGTGCCCTGAGCGTGAGATCCATGAACCTTTGGCAAGCTGACTTTCTGATTGCAAGCAAGGGTCAACTTCACCAGAACTGCGGTGGCGTTGCTAACGCGCTTCTCTGTTTCTACTCGGATGACGATACACTGTCGACCGTTGAGCAGCTTTCCACTTAAATTCCTCGGCAGAACTTAGCCCATTTTCCAGGCAATTTAGAATTTAGCAGCGGTCCAACTGTCACCGTATGGAGTCATTCGGCGCAGTGACATGTAAGGAGATGCAAACTAGGTCTCCGGCACACCAACGGGCCTCCCCTGCGAAGAAAGCAAAAAGGGCAACGCGCAAAAAAGATCGTGCACCGTTCCAAAACACCTGAAATCGACAGTTTCGCAACTGCCTACCAAAGAAATACACATCGCAAATGCCATCCGTTTCGCCTGCTCGACCATTTCAGGTGTTTGCCTCTTGGACACATCGTAGGCGATGGATGAATCAACCAGAATTGGGATGCAAAAGGCCACTTTGGATCTGTACGACTCCTTCAGGAGATCTGAAAGGCGTCTTCTCAATAAGTTAGGCTCGCAATAGACAAACATCGGGCAGCATAAGGACATCACCGAGGAACACACAAAAGCCCTCCTCCACATCTTTCACTGCCTCAGGACCTTGCTTCTCCGCTTTCTCAATGTCTCTCTTTTTCATGTTGAGGTAATTGTTCTCAATGATTGCGTCGATGTTCTCCCACTCATCTGGGGGCTTCCGGACAGAATAAACTCCTGGCCAGTGCAGAGCCCTCGCATAAAGTGTTGATATGAACGCGTGCCCTCTCCAAGGATCTTTCTCCAGACATGTCACCTTTTTATGAACGGTGAAAAACACTCCGTGTTCAGTTTCTAGCCTATACATGCATGTCTGATCAAGCTTCTAGTTCTCAACGCAATTGGTGCAATTAGCCAGTCTTGCCTTTACCCCACCAGGCGTTGGCGTCCTTGCCCCCCGTTCTCAAAGAAGCCTGTGGATATGCAAACGCCAAGAGCTGACGATATAAAAGGAATGCCTGAAATCAAAGACATTGACTTTTGCCTAAGATTCATAAAAGCTGAGGGCATCGCGAACAGTTCCACCGCTGTCTTCCTCAAATCCGTAATATTTCTAAAGCCAAACTCATTGGTGTAGTGGAACAAACACTGCACATCGTTGGCATCGCTGGCTGTCAGGTCGAGGGCATCCTGCCAGACCTGAGAGAAACTTCTGTGGTTGCCGGGCCCCGCAACTGTGAAACGGTGTCTCAACAAGAATCAAATACCAAGCAAAACGTTCACGTTCACTTTTCCCTGGCACCTTCACGCCCAGTTTGGTGTGGACCCAGCACCAGTCTTTCGCATCATGCCGGTACTCTTTGTGATCGAAAACAAGGCCTTCCTTGTAGCCCTTCTCAAAATAATCTTTCAGACTGGCCTGAGGCAGGGAGCTGAGACGCTTTGGGACGTGGACTGAGACTGCCTAGACCGGCCCGACGAGACGGGCCCAAGGAGCCCGGATGGGCCCACGAGGTCACACGGAGTCGCATGGACCCGTGAAGCAAATGTTCGGGGCTCAGGGTCACCGGTGTTCGTTGGCCTGATAAGGCACCAGTGAACGCTAAAGGTGTAGCATGTGTGTCCTTGTGTTGCCGAAAACCCACCAATAAAAAAGCCCCTATAGGCCCTATCTAGCTGAAACGAGTTAAACCATACATGATGAAAAGGCACCGCTAAATCTGAAGGGCTGGACTGATGCTTGGAATCATGCGAAGTCGTACCATCTTGAAAGATCGCACTTCTTTTGCGATTTGGCAAAAAAGAACACGCCGTCACCTCTGTAAATGTCTTGACAACACCTGTGATAACACCTCTAGTAGCAGGATGAAAGAACACAACATAGATTTTCTCCGCCCAAAAGCTGGGACATAGATGCCTCCTTGACAGGTGGCCTGTAGAGGTGTTTCACCGGCAAACGCACAAGCAAGCATGGTGCTCATGCGCTTGGTAGGCTTCAAACAGAGTACTGTACATCTTCCACTTCCAGCCCATTGGATTACAGGAACTCTGGTGGTCAACATGCTGGTTCCGCCTCTCGCTTTACATTCTCCAACTGCTTCTTCAGTTCCTCCTTTTCTGCCTTCAAGGAACAAGCACATGGAATGACCGTGCCATCCTACTACATCCTACTACCATCAACTGTATGAGAAGCTGGTCGTGCTCAGACTGGTAGCAGCAAAGGAAGACTTTTGCCAAAGGTGCCCAGCAGTGAAACAGTACGTTTGAAGTGGGTATTTCTGTCAAATAGGATTCTTGAAACTCTTTACAAAAGTTGCGAGTTCATCAAGGTGAATCAAGGTGATGATTGTTCAGACTTGAATGGGGTGAAAAACGTTCGGTCCTGCCACTGAAGAAAATTAACATCGGCCATGAGACTTCAACAAACATCGCAGAAACATCAACACGCACTTGCCAGCCTCTACAGCCTGCACTTGTCTTCGAGCCTGAATAACCATCAGCCGAAGTCTGGGAATCATGCAGCAAGTCATTCCCTAACAGTTTATCACATGTTCAAGCAGGGCACAAACATATGGTTGTGAGACCTAAATCTCCACACATCAGTTTCCATCGAAAAGATTCGAAAAGCAGTTCTTCAAAACCACCTCCAAAAGCATGCCAAAACCTAAAACATTGCAATCTAAACTAAAACCATCTAAAACCAACAAAATCCAAACTGATAAAACATCCCTTCGCCTTAACCTCCTTTCCATTGCTGGACGAGCTCGGCTCCTCATTCTGCGCCTGGAGGAAAGCGAACGGCTTCAAGAGTTAGGGGAAAAGCTCCTTGTCTTTCCATACGGCTCATGTGGACTTGTTGCTGCTGGATCCCACCCCGCTAGAAACAAGCTGAGACTTTGCCTGTAGGCAAACCCCTTGGACACGATGCCATGTCGTGACAGACCAACAAGTGTGGATTGTAGATCATCGGCAACTCAAATACAGTACTTCCTCTTGCTTACCAGCTCTCGTGAACGGTATAAGCGCCCACAGGAACTCCCTTTCTGACGCCTCAATCGTTGAAGGCTTCTTCACATCCCACCCTTCTCTCACGCGGCTTTCGGCTTTGTGTACCTTCTCGGGCATCCACCAGAGTCAATAGAGGCATCTGGTGTTGCGACACAATATCATCAAATATCAATACTGGGTAGTGAGGCAAAGAAAACTATCAAGGACAGTCTGTTGATGTTACCCTGAACCTGAGGGTGTGTGCATGAAGAGCAGGCACCACACGTTGTTAAGAATTGCACCTTTATGCATTGTCTTGCTTGTTTAGCATGTTTGTGTACAGTATTTGAGTATGAAAAGAGACATCTTTGATAGCGCTGTGTATTGAGTCAACTCCAACAACCTTAGCTTGAAACATGTGTACTATATGTATGCATAGACTTACTTAAGTAGAAGAAAGGAAAAAAAACGTTTGCTGAAGTATTGCACAAAGCATGCAATTCACGGGAACAACAAGTCTGAAAGCACCACGAATACAGCAGAAGACAGAGAATGGTGCGCCCTGCAAGTCGTTTTGTTGAAGAGCATCACTGCAGTCCACCATCGGAGAGATTCGATCGGCCGTCTTGTGGCTAGATTCCAAACTCATCCGATCATTTAGAAGTTGCAAAAGTCGGATTCTGGCCCGTGGTGGATGCTTTTCTGCAAAAAATAGACCTCCCAAGAAGTGCACCTCGGAGGTGAAGAGGATATCCAAGAAGTCTTTCACGCCTCAAGAAGTCTTTCACGCCTCAAGACTTGGTTGGTTACGCCAGCTGTCTCGTTGTGAGCGCTTTGAGGGGGTCTCCTTGCCCATCCCTGCCAAGCTGCGAATCTGTGAGTCTTCTGGGTAGTCCTGCGGATCGGTCAGGGCTGCAGCCAGTGGCAAGCCAAACAAATGCAGAGGAGACCAACCCTCAGGGCCCTAGGGCGAAATGTGATGAGTTGACATATACTCGAAGAGTTCCGTCTCCCGGTTCCGCCCACCGTTTGAACATCTCCTGCAGAAGGACATGGGCCTCCTGCAATGTGCCACAAAGATCCTGAATCATTTCGATGTAGCCTTAGGATGTCACACAGCTTGGACAGCTGATGGACTCTCAATTGGTTTCCAAATTATATAGTTTGATACAACAGAACGTCTGGAACACTCGCCACCAGGCCAAACAAAATCCAAGCCAAACAAAATCCAAGTCAACTGCAGAGTCAAAAAAAGAACTGTGCTAGAATATCAACATCGACTCCTCCCGAAAGCACTCGAGTTCTACACCCCAAATCAGAATCCAACCATGCCTGGCCCAAGCTCACAGCTCCGACGCAACCTTGAAAAGTCTCCCGAAAACCGAGGAGCTTTGCCGTTCCAGCGAAAGGCCATCGCCGCCACCTCCACGCGCCATCGCCTCGAAGATCGCTTCCACCTGCCCGCGCAACTCCTCGGCGCATCCGCGGAGGATCGGACGAAACGGCCGGATCTGAAACCTGACTCAGCCTATCAAGAGCCTTCTGAGACGATCTCATGTGCTGCTCTCATGTCATGAATCCCAAAGCGGCCCGGCCGCGCCTCGCCGGCGACCACCGCGGTGAAGTCGCCGCCCCGCCGCGCTGAGCCGCCACTGCCCATGGCCTCGGCGCGACACACGCGTCGCGGTCCCGTCGGTCGGTGGGGACGGGGGCAAAGGGTCACACGGGGCCAAGGAATGTGTGAACAGAAACAGAAGAAACGAACTGAGGTTGAACGTTTCAGCTAGGTAACTAGAGGGGAAACTGGTGCATCGAATCGAGAAAGTGGCGCATTGGAGTCTTTCATTGAGGCAAATAGTGTCATCGACCGCCACACGTCCACTATATAACAGGTTTGAGATGTGCAAAAAAAATGCCATATACATATATATATATATATCCATATATGCCATATCCGAAGTAAACCTGAATGCAAAGGCCGGTCCATATCCAAAAACTATGCTGCCCTCCTCAGGTTGCGCCCTGCACAGGCAGCACAAGCAGCGGTAGCACGGAAAGCCGGGAGCGGCAGCTCACACCGCAGGCGCTGGCAGCTGATGAATAAACTAGGAAAAAGATCGAAATAATGAATACACACCCTAGGTCCAAGTACCTTCTCAGAAGGTGATTGGAGACTATTTATGTAAGCTTGGAGGGCCCAAGTACCTTCTCAGAAGGTGGCAGTGGATCCCTATAGGGACAACGAACACTTACTGCAAATTATACGGTGAAGACGGGTCTTTATGCCCTTGCCCGGGCAACGAAGAGATGTGTTTGCTCTCACGTGGAAAACGACTGCAGAAAGCATTTGGGCCTGCAACGTTCGGTAGAGAATCTAGGTTTTCTGGTGACTGGTGGTCCCAAAAAGCCTCTACACCCCGAAACAAGTAGTTTGGTGCATTGCCGGTTGGTTCAACACCAGATTTGACGGCTTTAGGCCATAACTCCACAACTTTCATCAGGTTTTGGCTAAGAAGAATTAAGGGCGAGATTCGGTGCACAGCCAGGTGTTGATATCTGAGTTCACGGTCCAAACGGATCCAGCAGGTACTTCCTGCAACAGGTGTTTTCACATGTTATCGCTTTGAAAGAGCCTCACAGAATCGGGAAAAGACCTCTAGGAAACCGTCCTTTTCTCGTGCTGGGATGATCCAAAAAGCCGAACGCCCACAGCGCTGTGTTTCGAGGATGTCCGTCTCCTTCGCCGTCGTGCTCATTAGCCTCTCAGCTACAGCACGATCGCCTCTCAGCCTCTCATGGTGATGTCCAAACCGAAGGTGGAAGGCGGTAGGTGCAGGGCCAAGGGACTGAAGCAATTTGGGTGGAATTCGAGGGGCTGAAGCTTTTGCCAGGAGGCCAGTTTGACTCTGTTCGAGTCGACTTCCGGTGAAAACCCACGGGTGCTTCGGATCTGTGCGGTCTTTTTCGGGTGGTGCAAGGGTTTCATATGGTTCGGCCGGACTCTTTGGTTGAGCTTCTTGGATCCTGCACCGAGTTTCCTGCCAAATCTGCAGCGCTGGTCAAGTCCAGGATCAATGACCGAGAATAAGAGAGTTCTCTGCCACGACGGCTGTCAATGTCCAGGCAACCACCAGGCGCCTGAGGGCCTAGCGAAATATTTATTGAAGTGCTGTGGCACCAGCTGTGGTTGGGATGTTTTTCAGCTGTTGAAAAGCATCCGCCAATGGCGAAGGAGTGACATGGCGCCAGCTGCATGGGTCTCTTTCAGAGGAAGTTCATGACAAGTCGGAGGATGTGCACGGAACGAAGCAACGACAGCCACAAGCCCCGCCGGAAGCCATTCAAGCGGTGGAGAAGCTGAGGAACTTTGGGCGTCACTTCTTGAGCTTGGGCGGAAGTTCTCGTTTCGGCGAGCCGGAAGGGTGTGGGTCTCCTTTCAACGGTTGCAGGTGCTAGGCCCTCGTGCCCGGTTCGAAGGATAAAGCAAGGTGCCCTGATCGAATGGAGCTCTCAACAACTTCAGATACTCGGCTCCGAAATGGCTGTAAGACGCGTGTGAGGAACGAGTTAACACTTGGCCGTTTGCAACGTGGTCACACGGTCGTTTGGAATGCTGCGTGCACCTCACCATGTTTGTTATGTACCCCTTTTTCCGGCCCCAAAAAATCCGATGAAGAAAAAGGCCTTACTTGAAGTTAATTCAAAGCCACAACCCAGTGGGAGTGTCCACTTTGAGAGGCATTTCCATTCCAGCTGCTTGGTTGTCAATTAAAACGTCACCTCAGCACACAGCATATCACAGCATGGCATACTAGAGGGCTCTTGTAGCTGTGTGTCATGTCGCCCTGAAAACCATCACAGCAGGGAAACTAAACACAAGCATACTCGTGGTCAGCTCCCAAGTAGTCGCAATCCAAACCTTTTGACACGGATGTCGAAGCTCACGCACACCAAACAAGGTAGCCAGCCAAAGGAACCAGCATTGAACAGCCAGCATGATTTCCTTATTGTCGTCAGCGAAAAACAAAGGTCCCATCTTCTGAGGCGTCCAATGGCAGCAAAAACACCCTGCCGGTGCCCAAGGGCTTTACCCAAGCGTAACGGGCCTGCTGATGCCTTGCCAAAGCCCTTTCACGCTCCTGGCTGTTTGGAACCGGGCAGAAGCCGTGGATGTTGTTAGGATCAAATACAACGCGTTTTCCACCACTGGCTTCTCGGAGTGATTCGGTTGAAGGACCCTGAAGGACACCGGGGTTTGGTGAAGGACCCGAGTGCTTATTGTCTTGTTGTTCCTTTTTGTGTCTGTCTGTGCGTTCTTCTTTTCTCACATTGTGGACTTGTCCAACCGACAACACTCGCCGTTCCCAACAAAAACTGGAGAAGACACGAACGCCAAGCTCAACCCCTCGTGATATATCCCCAAAACAACTCGGTCGACGTCCCAGAACTCTGTCGGCTTCTCAAATTGACATAGTAACTTAACACATCACAGCTGCACATCAACTCCACTCCCACATGAAATCAACACTCTCATAACATCCCCAAACAAAATGACCTGTTTCGGAAACAGCCTTCACTTCTGTTTGCACCAGTAGCAGGTGAGTCTCCCTTTACTAAAAACTATGCAAGCCTTAAGTAGGATTACCTCTATGACTCTATGTCGCACATGCTTCCCAGGAAACATGGGAGTCGCCAGGGCTCCAAATCTCCAGCAAACAACATCCCTGTCCTTCACCCAGTAGAGAATCCTCGACCAGGGCTTTCTTTCAATGCCGCAGACTTAGAACAAACCCGGCTATACACACTTCAAATGTCCATCGAAATCTGGTGGATGAATTCCCAAGACTCAACCCCGTCCGAGATCTCAATGTTGATCTCTCCTCTCCAAGCCGAGCCAAAACACATCCGCGCGACGGCCACGACGGACCGGCATGGACCTCAGCGTTGGTCCGGTACTTCTCGGCGGAGATGCCACTTCCCATGGTGACCTGGGTGCCCCATGATTGGCCTTTTCAGGCCCAAAGGCTAAGGCCAAAGAGAGCAAGCGCAGCTGGCTTCTTGAAACCACGAGGTGGCGAAGTAGGAAGCTTTGGCTCTCGTGTTTTGGAAGCCTTGCGAAGTGTCAAACGGTTCTTTCTTTTGGGGGGGTCAGACACGAACCAGATCAAACAAGCAGCATGTCGAAACGCATCGAACACGGAGCAGTCCTGTGTACCGAGACGCTTGGCGCAAAGCATCCCGCTCTGGTGACAAAGACCAATCGAATCCAGGAGCCCTGTGCACGTGACGATAAGACGTTGCTGGGCGAGGACCTCGAGGTGGCATGATTGGCTGAGAAAATTGCGAGCCTGGCAGGCCTGGCAGGGTTGGAAGCGGACTCACCAAACTGTTCTGTTCAGTCTTTGGTTGAATATACAAGGGGACACTACAATGCACTCCCGATAGATACAAATCATTCAGCGGATGTTGAGTGGGATGTGTGGCCACTTCTTGCAACTGCCACAAATTTCACGGTGCTTCAAACGCCAACTTCAGCCCTCATCGGTGTCTCTTGACCCCTCCCATTATATGCATGAAAAAAGCGAGCCTAACTTTGAGGACCGCGAACGCTGGAAGTGCTTGTCGCATTCCTCCTTCGAGGGCACTTGAGTTCGCTCAGGGGAATCGCCGCGCGGCAAGCCTGCGGAGCCTGCAATCAGGGTGGCGACTTCCCTAGCAAGGAGAACTTTCTCAAAAGGTTCCTCCTTGCATCAGGGCAAGAAAATGGAAGAAAGGACAAGGATGTCCTTTGTGTTTGCATGGTGTGGCACCCCAATCTCTTGTATGGCTTTCAGAGATGAAGCTTTGAGAAGTGATTTATTTGTCTTGCACCCATCAGCCAAACAAAGCTGTTGAGACAAGCCTGCCCTGCTGCTGCTTCCAGCACCACTCACATGCTCCGCTGCTTCCGGCGAGGAAGGTCGCTGCATGCCGCGACCCGAGGGTGAATGCATTCCAAAAGACCTACTGAGCAGCTTTGCGGAAGACCCTATCTGTTGGCCAAGATGGCTTTCAGGGCCTACAGCCCCCCAAAATCCGAGATCCTCCCAGATGTGAGACTTACCGAGACGTTTGTGTCGTGATTCTGAAAAGAACTCATGCCGTTCCAACTATGTGAGCCGCTGTGAAAGCGCGAGGAGATAGAGAAAGTTTCTTCGCACCTGGTGAGGATAGCATTAGTTGCTTGATGTCAAGCGATTCTGGTGCAAAGCTGAATATTGATTGGACTTCCAACTTGCAAGTGCCCAAGTGTCAGGCTGAAGAGGCTTTCAATGACTACAATGCTTTTCTCTAATGCTCACACTTGCTGGTCAAATTTGATTGTTCCACACCCACACGAGCGATGAATTTGATTGGACTTCCAGATTGTGGTCAGGCGTGAGATGTGACCGCGAGGTGGTTGAAGTGTGTTTAGGGAAGTTGAGGGACTTGTGGGTGAACAAGCTTCAGGTGAGAAACTCCTAGCTTGCTGTCATACTGGACTTCAGAAGTCTTCCACAAGATTCATCCATGGTACCATGGAGGATCTGCAAAACTCTCTCTATTTCTCCTAGTCAAGCTGTTTTGTCTTGGGATGTGCATCTTCACTCGCCCCTGCCCTCAAACTTCCCAGGCTGGAGAGAAACGGCGAAACAAGTTGGCGGGATCATCTTTGCATCCACAGAGCTTCAGTATCCCTCGAGAAGTTCTTCAGCATCTTGAGTTGAATCAAAAATGAGAATAACACATATATACTATGTTGTGATTAGTGATTGAATGTTTGAATGCTGGATGTTCATCTAGGCAGCACAAACAATGGCACGCTGCGGCTCTTTCTCCACTCGCAAAACCAGTCCCACGGAGGTGAAACACGCTCAAGAAGTTCAGGCGAAATGCTTGCGCCGTTTGCACCTGCAAAAGCATGAGCCGTGAACATGTTTGAGTGAAGACCTCCGATACGAATACGAAACATGAGCCTACAATGAAACTATCCCACCGCAAGCGCAAGGTGACTTTGCTTTCATGTGTGAATTATTCAATATATATATATATACACAGTAGTAGCTTAGGCTGGAGCAAAGACGTGCATGAAAACGATAATACTAGTATCACGCTGTACTCAAAACCCCTCACAGGTATGCCAGAGTTTTGACCATCCAAATAGGCACATCACCCACTGAAACAGAAACGCAATCGTCACAACAACCACAAACCAAAAAGAATACCCTCAGACAGTAGGCTGATGGTAGTAGTACGAAATGGGAGGCCTGCTGTTGTGCAATTGGAAGTTAGTTCTAGTTCGAGCGTTGTTACAGAATGAATATTTCTGGGCAAATGTTCAAAGCCTAAAAAGGTCGACACATGTCTGAAAATGATGTGAGCCGGATGGCCCCTGGTTTTGGGTGGTCCTGTTCATCTCTCTGCTACTGGAGGATGACTATATTCATTACCTCCACGTCCAGGCACACCTTCACGTCCACTTTTGGAGTTCGTCCAGCCACAGGAACGAAATCCACAGGCGCATGAAGCGCACAAAAGGACCACCAAGATTGGCGACTTGTGCAGTCGGTGTTTGTCAAAGTTTCGACCATACCAAGACGCAGAAGGTCACTGATAGCTCATTCCAGGCTTTGTTTCACTTGAGTTCACTATGGCACGGGGGGACAAAAAGGTATGTTGCCGGTAGGAAAAATGCTGTTCAACTGCTGTGAATTCTAGTTGTATTGAGGTTTCGATTTCAGAATGGCCCAGTGGAGAATCAAGGCTTTGTGGAGGCTGGTGACAGCCTACCGTTCTGAAAAGAAGTCTGCACAGAAGCAACAATCTGAGTAGATTCCCCTGGCAACAACAAAGAAACAAGTAATCTGGTCCAAGGCTGATTCTTGTGAAGATCAGGTTTAGCTCTTTAGGCCAGAAACAACACGTGTCTTGAAATCGGCTGCATCTTCATCGGCCACTGAGTAGATCTAATTCAATCACATAAATATAAATATAAATATATATTCCATAACATATATATATATATATTGTATTATATTGTATTGTTTCCATGCATGGGCATCAGTGTGGTCCTCCCAGTCAGTCACGTCGATGTCCGCCCATCTCCACCTGTTCCACCGGCCCCCGCCTCTCTTCCACGCGTCCTCTACCGGGAAGCCACGGAGTCCACAGCTCGGACGTTGCCGCCCAGCGACCCTAGGGCCTTTGCAGTGCAATGCATTCGGACTCATCCACTTCGGTTTGGGGTGTGGCTCCGGAACTCGGGTTCCCCCCCTGGATTTCTGGGTGGGTCGCGCTGTTTGGATGGGTCGAGCTCTTGGATCATCGCCAGGCGCAGGGCCAGGCGCTCGGGTGGTCTTTCTCATTCTCTGGGCAGGGTACCGAGAACTATGCTCCAAAGGCCCCCGGGGGCGCATCGAAGATCTGTCATTGCACAAGCCGAATGAACTGTTCCACTGGTTCCAAACAACAACCACGTCTGGACCTATCTGGCTAAGTGAATGACCTCCGACACGGCTCATAAACAGATTGCCCCGTTCTGCTTCATGATTCAACATGTTATGTTCAACATCGTAAAGCTATTGTATCTAGAAGTCATAAGTTATAAGTGTTAAAAACATGCGGACAGTCGTGAGTAGCGCAAGACATAGCAGCTCAAACTGTCAGTGCCCATCCCAGTGACGGTGGGAGAGAAAACCTCCGCGGTGGGAACCTGAAGACCACGGAGGGTTCTCGGGCTGCACTGGTCATCCAAACCACTGGGTTCTTTGGATGAAACAAACGAAAAACGACCAGAAAACTACCACTGTTCTCGGGTTGCACTACCACTACCACTAACACAGAAAACGACATCGGTTAAATGAATTTAACATATTGTAACATGGAACATGTTGAGATGACGGAAAGAAACACATGGGCTTGGTCCAGTCTGGTTCATGCCTTTTCCGGTTCCATGGGGGTCGAGCATGCCCGGTTCCATGGTTGAGCAGAAGCACCCGTTTCCCTTTTCCCCGTCCAAGCCTTTGGCGTCCTTTCTGTCAGTTTTCAGAGAAGCCTGAGGATATGGAACTGCCAGCTGACTGAGCGGAATGCATTGCACGCAAGACAAGGAACTTACACAGAATTCATGTCTTTGTCAAAATGATCAATTCACGAACAATCAGTGGATCCAATCATCTTGCCTACTACGAAACAGGTGATTGATGCACAAACGCCTGTCAGCAGGCATTTGGAAGTACCGTTTTTTGCCACGTGCAGTGCAGCACGTCTCTGTCTGGTGATCATGGTATCATCGTGTCCATGTCGCGCGCCAGAGAACTCGTGCCTTCGGTGCCTGGGACGACGTCGGCGCGCCTGAGACGCTCCTGGAGTCGGTCCGCGGTCGGTGGGTCGAGCACCGAACGTCCTGCGCGAAGGACGAAGCAGCTAGATGGTCTAGCCAGCAGCCGACTGGATCAGAACTTGAGAAGCTATCAAAAGCAAAAGAAAACCTGGCAAAAATAGAGGACCCTGTAGACTGTAGATGGGCGAGCCGAGTGCAAGGGCGCCCAAGTGCGCTACATGACCTTTGAACGCGACACCCCCACATGCTCGTGAATGGCCACGTGCGTACCATGAGTGGAGAAGCACGTGCCTGCATCAGCTTCTGATTCTCCTCTTCTTTCCCATCCTGCGCGCCAACGCGGTGGCTTATGGCAGCATGGCATGCTCCAGGAGCTGGTTGAACACGTGCGGCACGTGGAAGTGGAAGGGGAAGTGGCACGTGTTGTACAACACTGTCCTGACATGTCCTGACACTCTTTCATGGAGCGCCGCCAGAAAAAACGACGATGTGTATACCAAAAAACGGGATCAAACACTAAAACCTACGAGTAAGAGACCGTCCGCAAAGAATGAGCAAACAGACCCCGTAGGACCATTCTGAGATCGCCCAAAACGTCTTTCTTGTGCCACGCAAGCATCTAGCAACTGTTATGTTGATGTTTGCTGTTTGTGTTTGCGTTTCTTTTCTCGTCCCATGTCAGGCATGCCCCACACCGAAGTCAGTGTGCCTTCGAGTGAAGAGAAAATCCAAGAAGGTTTTCACACCTCAGTTGTTCCAAACCCCGTGGTACCCCTTCAAAGTATAAAAATCAAACAGAACGGGCGAAGGATCAAAAATAAGAGCAGCAAAAGATATTCCATGAAGATCAAGAAGAAAAACAAAAGGATCTGTATTTGTTCCCCGTGAGCATCAGGCAGCCCCCCCGGCAGAGCAAACCAAAACACAAAATCCACCCACAAAGAAATACGAAGGAGAACGAAAGGATGGAAATGATCGACCCAGCAAAGGTGAGCCCCATCATCCACCAGAGGACAATGAAAGGATTTTTGCAACACAAAAATAATCAACATAGACTTAGACGAGGGCGTACGGAAAAGGCAAGGAGATGCAGGCGGGGTGCCGTTTAAAGAATTGGTCTTCGTGGCAGGCGGGGTGCATTGGCAACTCCGCCACACAGATCATCCGAACCGACGCACGAGAAGAAGACGCACCATCAATGAAGGACGAAAAGGACATGTGAGGCAACCAGGGAGGGCGCCGGCCGCCCCTGTTCCACACCAGCCGTTTTTGGCCGCTTTGAGGCCCGAAAAGGCAGCAAAGGACCGACCAGAAGACCAGGTGACTAAACAAGGAACCAGGAGACCGAAGGACCAGGAAACCAATAGACTAGCGGACATCATCAGGACATGTCGTTTTGATCCTGTTAGAATTTCTTGACCTTGCTCTTATGTCTTGATCCTGTTCAATAGATGCCAAGCAACATCCCTTTTCCAAACAGATCAAACAACCAGCAATCCAACAAAACCCCCAGTGAGACATGAGCCCACACCCAATCAAACCTCGCTGGTTTTTGACAGGAACCTTTTTAGAACCTGCTCCTGTCAGCTTCCCTTGCGCTTCTTCGAAGCTCTCAGAAAGGAATTGCGTCTTGGTGGGCTGGATGGTCCTGCACCTTTCTGGAACACCCGCTTGCAAAAAATCAGAAAAAAAAAACATGTATTGTTCGGGATCAAAACATGTGAAGAAAAACTCTTTGAGTTGAATGTCTCGAGCAAAAACACCGCAGGATTCCAGCTGAAAGTCCCAGTACAAATAGACAAACGACGAAAATGAATTCAATGTTGCTTTGACAGGTTCTGTCTTAGAACGTGCCGCCGTATTACGTCGTCAGATTCTTCGAAGCTTGTGTCGAGCAAGCAAGGCCTGGTCCGCTCTGGCTAGTCCTATCACCGTTCTGAGAACATCCTTTGGATGGACAGGCAACAATAAAACTGCGCAAATATTGTACTACGTACATGTCAATGCAGCTGTTGAAATCGATATGACACTTCAGATTAGATTGGTTCAGTTAAAAAAACGCACAATGCCTATCAACATCAAGTTCTCAGAACTCATAATCTCATCTAAGTTCACCCCTTCTGGCATTCCGACCAGAGGCATCGGGCGTCCGAGGTTCAGACAAGTCGAAGGGCTGAGACGTCGCGGCTGACTTGTCGCCGACGTCGCGGGAGACGGGGATGCGCAGAGGGCTTTGTGGCTCAGAGGTCGTCGGCTCACCATAGGCTTGAGATGGTTCAAGGTGAAAGGGCCTTGAAAGATATTGCTCCACTTTTCCCACTCGCCCACCAAGATCATCATGGAATAACCACACCTCTTGCAAACGATCCTCCACCTCTGCTTGGAGACTCCCCACATGAGCGCGCAGTGCATGACAACTCTCCACATGCACTTTCTCGCTGTAGGCCACACTGTCCTCCATGTCAGCGAGTTTCTTCTCGAAAGTCTCCAACCAGCCCTCCCGTAAGTCTCGGAAATTCTTCAACTCTTGCAACTCCTGTCCATGTGTAGCAAGCATGGTTTTCCTTAGTGCCACTCTTGCAAAAACAGCCACGGAACAGTTGGGTTCTTCTGCTCCGAAGCACGTCGCGACGGAAACAACGGCTGACCGCCTCCAAGTGCACCCAACGAGGCGGAAGTGTGTGTGTGTGTGTGTCAGAGCACGTGTGCAGCGCCTGTGGAAAGATGGGAATATGGTGGGAAGATAGGATCACATTGCATTAACTCATGAACTCTTGATAATTGCGTCGCTTGAACACTCCTCTGGTCCGTCATCGGCAACATAGTCGCTAGCCTTGTTTGAATTGCAGGACAAGCAGCGGAAAAGCATTGAAGCTCGGACGCATGTGTTCTGCGCGCGTTCACCGAAAACATGGTTGCAACATGTTGCACACGCTCCGCGCGCCCGCTTTTCTTCGCGTGCAGCCAATCGCGCAGGCGAAGAACCCGTGCTTCAGCCAGCTGCGCAGGCGAAGAACCGACCAGACCCGTCGAACACACCCGTGAACCGACGAACCGTCGAACCAGTGAAGAAAGGCTACGTCACAAGTCTCAGACCTCCGCTGACCGAAGCGAAGAAGCCACGAGTCGACAGGGACCACGAGAGAGGCGAGGGAGTCTCGGCGTTGGCGAAGAAGCACAGTGAGGGGATCGAGGGAAACATGCCGACGGACAGGATGAGTCGGTGAGGGTGTCGTCCAAGTAGTCACGATCCAGACTCGACGGACTCGACCAGCCTGTGAACTGGTTCGAACCCAGACTTGGTTGGTTTTAGGCTTAAGGGATCATCTACAGTAAAGCCATGGAGAGCCATAGGGCATGAGGGGTGTTGAAAAACCAGGGTTTCCTGCAGATGGTTCCCTTAAACCAATTCATTGATGGTCAGCGCACGGAAAAAAGAAGACGGTTCCGCTCGCCCCTCAGTTCCGCTGCTGAGCGCATACCTTCGACTGAACGAAGATGGAACTCTCTGGCGCCAACTGCTCATCGTACTAGTATGTGGGCTTCCCAAGAAACAACAGGAAGACCCTGAACTTGTTCATCAGAATCAGCTTCCGTGAGTGCCAGCGCCAGGGCACAACCAGGGCATCTTAGGGAAGACCGAACCAAACCACCCCTAACAAGCACAACGAGCTTAGGCGGGGTTGGTCATACACGGTTTCTGATCCAAACTGCTGATAAAGAACTTCCGAAGTTGTTACAACTGCTCATGAACAAGGAGAGTTCTCAGACAACCCTTCAAGCACTCGACCCTGGCAACTCATCAGCCACATAAAGGTCATCCTGCAAGCCTCCAGGATCTCATGAACAGACACAATTCTCCTTTATTTTTGCGCCTCCTCTGCCTTCCACCAACCATAGACTTCGGCGACGCGCCAAAGTAAGGCCTGGCCTTGCTCCACGAGTCCGGCACTAGACCTACGATGCTTCAATGGTCCTCTTCCGCGCCACACGGATACGCAGCCTTTGTTTGCCCCATTAGCGAGCCTTCGAGCGTCATGCAGCACCGAGCATGTTTTGGGGGAGCAAGAAGTGTTCCAACGCGTAGAGCTGGAGCGTTTGCGAAAACTCCGATGCATCTCCCGTTTCATGAGTCGACCTGAAGAACAGTCCAGCGAACATGCGACAGGCTGCTAGTCCAACAGCTGACGGCTCAAGAGTGTGCACCAGAAATCTCCAAAAATGCATCTCCAAGCATGGGCTCCGCGGCTCGCAAGTGTCGAGCTGTAACAAGGCTCGGCAAGCTCCCTGCGGTGCCTTCCGTTTTTCTCGTCCGGGCCTTCTCGCTAGAACCCGCTAGAATCGGCCAAAAGGCCCTTACTCAAACTCCTCCTTGACGGTCTTTTCTAAGGGAACTTGGTGCTAAAAATGCCGTCAGCTACGTACGCAGCTGCATCAACGTCCAGACACACCGTCTTTGAGCTGCAAACATCGCTATTCCCAGGGGTCACAAAGGGGTGGTGTTTGGTTCCTAAGTGAGTGGATGTTCTGGGCACCCCTAACCTCCAATAGGCACCCCTTTGTGACCCCTGGTTTACCTACTTTTAGCACACTGTTTTCCGTTCAAAAATGGAACCGACCAATTCGCCAACGCGCTCCAAAAGATGCCGCCATGGCCAGCTGATGATGCAAAAAATGCCCTCATGCCGCATTGATGGAAACGATGCTCGTAAAAAAACCGTTGCGGCATCACTCGCACCACCGTCGGCCGAGTCGCAGCGGGAAATCTTTTAAGACCCAATTTCTTGGATCTCAACCCTTCCAAAACCAATAGATCCAAAACCAATAGAACCAATGTTTTGGAAGGGTGGATCTCAACAGGCTCTCAATTCACCCTTCCAAAACCTCCCCTTCTCAGTTCGCCCGAACTTCCGCCATTCGCCCAATAGGGGCCTATCGGCTGGGACCGACCCTCTGGTGGTGTTTTCGGCATTCGACGGGTCCATTGAAGTTCACCATTCGCGCAGACCAGCAACTTCTTACCAACTCACGGTTCAGGTCCATGAAGCAGTCAAGAAACGCATGCCGCCTGCTTGCGCTGCTGTTTGAACAAGTCAACGAAACGAAGTCTCCTAATTGGTCGCCCAGATCCTCCCGACGCTCCCAGCCAAGGTTCAGATCTAAGATCTGTTGGGTAGATTGAAAGAACGATGTCATAGAGGTGGATTTCAGGGAAGCCAAATCTTTGGTCATGGTCTCGAACCGTTCATTCAAGCGAAGCACAGCACGATCCAGCTCCTGGTTGTGTTTTTGCGTGGTTGCAGTGCAGAGGAAACGAAACAAAAAGGTACACCCCCCTGGAACGAACATGGTTACGTGGATGGCATGGCCCCGATTTCGGAAGACCATGAAATCCACTACAAACAGGTGGTGAACTCCACTTCCATTTTAGTTCCAGGGAGAGTTTTTGAAAAGGATTTGAACAGGATTGCAACGTTTACAAAAACCTTAAATCTGACACGTGCAAAAGATGCCAAAAGGTCCTTCTTGTGCTGCGTCATTGTGACCTTCCTTAGCGTCAACGCAGTTCCAAACATGCTTCGCATAAAGCAATTTCTGGTGGTCTTTAGAGTCTTTGACCATCAATTTAGGCTTCTGCAAGTTCCCCACAATGGCCGCAAAGGTGGGAAGGTGGGAACAGTACAGACAGTCCATGCAACATCCCCGCCCGCCAAGCTTCAGTGTAGCATCCAATTCCTGGCCCAGGAAAGATCAGAGGAGCCGAGAAAGAAGTAAAGGTTCCGAGGACTGGCGCGGCGCTCCAGCCCCCAAAAACAAAGCAAGAAAGTCGAAGTTTGGGTTTAGGGTTTAGGGTTTTGGGTTTAGGGTTTTTAAGGAAAGGAATGCCATTCAAACTTCTGACAACGCCTTCCAACTTCCAACGTCTGAGTTTTGGCCAAACTGCAAAACGACCACAGTCCTCCTTGTGCTTCGCCATGGTGATCTTCCTTAGTGGCGATGTTTCCTCGTCGGTCACATCACCCGGACGTGCGAGTGGATTCCTCGCACGTTGTGAGTTATACCAACAACAAGAACAAGTTTTTCTGCAGTGGATTGAGAGTAGATGGCACAGACCCCAAGAGGTGGTTTAGAAGGACCCCCTTCTGTTCAAGTCTGTGTAAGTGGGACCGAGCTTCCATTCTGACATTCGTTTAGCGATGGTCTCCGTAGCCTCTTGGTGTGTGTCCTTAGCCTCTTGGTGCGTGTCTTTCTCCCATTCCTTTTCTTCAATGTCGCGTATTTTCGCTTGTAGGTCCAAAAGGATGTCCTTTGAAAGTTGGTTGGACTCAATGGCATCGACTCTGGCCGTCACACGTTCGAAGAAGCCTTCGATCTTGGCGCAAAGGTCGGCGTTCTTCCCGACATTCTGCTCCAGCACCAACAATCTGGGCTCCAAGTCGGACACGTCCACCTTACTGTAATGTCGACGAATGGGCACTGACACTTCGGGCCGCGGCAACGTGAGCGTACGGGGAGAGGCACGAGCTTGTCGCAGAGCCATGGGCTCTGCCATTGGCTCCATGATTTTCTCGTGCCAAGAACGACGCCCAGAACGACAGCTGCCACTGTTCTGGCACAACTAACACGCACTCTCAGTCAGCGGCTTCCTAATTGATCTAATTGTCTTTTGAGCTCAAATACAGGTCCTGCGAAATCTTCACATCAAATTCGAGCTGGTCATTGGAATGTTTCAAGCCACATTCGCCGTGTCAGGAATTGTTGCAGAAGCAATCGACGGGTGGGCCGGAAGCACAAAGAGGTACTTAAAAGAAAAGGCAAAGGCGGTTATGCAGAAAACGTCTGAGGTGTGGGGTTCAGGGGTTGCTTTGTATCACTTTTGTCTCTGCCAGACAATGTTGCTCAATTCCAGGCAGTTGAATATATATATATATATAATATTAAACAACCATCCTGCTCAATAATTGCATGTTGTTTCTGATCCAATCCATTGTTTCTATCTTTGGTCAGGGAAGGACAATTGAGCGGTGTCAAAAACCATCCGGAACTTCTATTAAGATTTTAAGAACCTTTCGAATTAAATAACCCAAAAGCAAAGGCCACAGTCCACGCAGTCCACATGCCACGCCGTACACTTGCGCGGACTGACATGTCGGGACACAAGAGCAAACATATGTTTATCCATGCTAGACTGAAAGACACGATCACGTGGGGTTGATCTGTAGACACCAAAAGCTGCAAGCAGCTGGAAGCCGCATTTCCTTATTGAAAGCCTCGCCGTTACAGACCGTAACACGAGTAGTTTAGGGAAGCAAATGGCCAGGACCCCAAACTCATAAAACTCATGGCTAGCGTGCCAGTTCTTGGTAGCTGGAACTGAGCTCCCAGACCATGAAACTGCTTGCGGCCTCGACCCTCGACCTGCGTAGAGGACTGTCTAAGACCGACTGCTGACCTGCACCACGAGGAAGCAAGTGTTTGCTCAACTTGAGTTTGTCAGTTGAACCTCCAATCCCCGCCCCTGTCGCGTCCGGACCCGCTTGTGGACCCGTTTTCCCCCCGGTCGTTGGCCGTATCGTTCGCTTCTTCGAAGCGAAGACGGAAGGCAGGTCGGCACGGTCGGCACGGTGCTGTCTGTCGTGCCATATCGGACTGGCTGGGAAGCGCAGTTTTTCTGGAAAACCCGATGAAAACACCGCACAAATGGGTTGAGGAAAAGGTATTGCATTCAAAAGAATGTGAAGACAAAGACACTCCTTGAGTTGAATGGCTGGGCAAAAATACCACAGGATTCCAGCTGACAATCCATCTAATTACAAATAACAAACCCTAATGAACCATTTCAATGCTTTGACAGGTTCTGTCTCAGAATCTGCCTTACGTCAGTACGTCGTCAGCTTCTTCGAAGCTTGTGTCGAGCAAGCAAGTGCATGTAATCGACGGACTGCACCATTCTGGCTAATCCGTTTCACCGTTCTGGGACAATCCTTTGGATGGACAGGCAGCGCTCTCTGATACAAGCCCTGTCGTTTCTTCAGCTGTGCTCCGTACACGGACGTATTCAGCTGTGGAACATCTTTTGGGGGGATATGCCTCTTATGGAGATGTGATTCGTTTTCCGAAAAAATGGAGAAGTAACGATGCCCATCAACATCAAAATCCCAGACCTGGTACTTTTCACTGCTGCTGAGCATTCTTCGAGATCGATCTCGGCTCATGTGCGACGTCGGGCTGAGACGTCGGGCCGCGCTTCGGAGGGATTGGGATGCGCAAGGTGCTTTGAGGTTCGGACGCGGCCAGCGGCTCACCATAGGCTTGAGGTGCGCAGTGAAAGGGCTTGGCAAGATAAAGTTCGATCTTCCCAACACGCGCACCATAATCAGCATGGACTGAGCACACCTCTTGCAAACTGTCCTCCACCTCTGCTTGGAGACTCTCTAGATGAACGCGCAGTGCATGAGAACTCTCCACATGCACTTTCTCACTGTAGGCCACACTGTCCTCCACTTCAACCATTCTCTTCTCAAAAGTCTCCAACCAGCTCTCCCGTAATTCTCGGAAATTTTGCAGCTGTTGCAACTCCTGTCCATGTTTAGAATATGTTGTTTTCCTTAGTGCCACTATTCCACCAACAAACACCGAAAGTGTTTTCTATTGCTCTGAAGCACTTGGAAACGGCAGGAAGCAAGGCTGACAACGTACTGTAGTGTTTCCGTACTCACCGCGCCAACCGTGCACAAACGAAGCGGAGCTGTTTGTGAGAGACACGAGACACCTTTGGAGGCAAATGTGCCCCCAAAAACACCCCCCTGACTCACTCGTCGTGTTCGTTCGACCTCGTGGAACTGGGTGACGGAAGATGGTTCCTTTGAGGGCGTGCGAAAACCCTCGCTACTGCTTTTACTAAGGTGCCTTCTTTCTTTTAAACCCAGGTTTCTGGGCATGTGGCATGTGTTTTCTGGACGCAGAAGTTCCCCCAGCGGCTCAGAGCGGCTCGTGCGTGTGTAGCCCGTAAGAAGACGGGAAGACAGTGGCAGGGTGGGATCATATCGTATTGTTTCTTGCCTTGGGTCGGTTGAACCACTCACGAACCACGTCACCAACATGGAAGCTGTGGTCTTTTGGAAGGCATGAGCAGCAGCTCGGATGCGGTTATCTGTTTGTGTGTGCACGGACCATGTTTTTCACAGATGTTCGGCCAGGAGTCCGCGGCCGCAGTGCAAAACGGGCGCAAAGTGAGAAAACCATTGGCTCAAGAGGCGAAAGATTTACGCCAACTGCTGCGCAGTTGAACAGCATCCACCAAAACAGACAGCAACTTCCGGGCAATATCAATATCTAAATCTATCTAAAGGGACAGCGCCCCAAAAAGACTTCCGAAAGCCACACCATAGCGTGTCAAGCGAAAGCCACAAACATCGTCAGACATGTGCAAAAGTAAAAAAAGTGATTGCGCATGGTCTTCCCCGGCAAGATGTACACAAAGACACACCTCCAAGTGACATACAAATCAAATGACAGCAGAGTGCCTTCGCTCGTGGTACAGCAGCCTGCCCCACCACCCTGAGGCACCACTGAAACCCCATGCCGGCTCGGTGAGCCACTACCCCGCTGCGTAAGCGTTCGGCGCACCCGAAACCGGGTGCACTGGCATTGGCACTGCATGGCACTGCATGGATGGTTTGGGGAAACAGAAAGGAGACGAAAGGGCATGGGGCACCTACATGTCGGACCAAAATACCTCATGTGTCCCTCATGCAATGTATGGACTGGTGCGACTCGTAGGGAATGAGGGAATGAACCACCCCTGTAGACCCTTCAGGATCCATTCCGGTAAATTCCCTACTAAGCACCAGTCAGTCATGCAATGATTAAAGCTTTGAGGAAAGAAGATAAAAACCTTGCAATGCCGAACATGTTTTTCGTCAGTGCCAGTATCATACAATGTCAGGAAGCTAGCAGCTAGTGAAGCGGGAGTGTACCAGTAAAGTAGTTCAAACAGCAGTGAACAAACGCATGTCTGCTTGCTATTGTCTGTAACTAATTCAGAAGTCTCTTGCCCACCTCTTTCGAAGATCTTAGCAAGCCAAGCTTCAGATCCAAGATCTGCTGGCTAGTTTGATCTTGGAATGTGATAGAGTTGGATTTCAGGGAGAAAATATCTTTGGCCATTGTGTCGAACCTTTCGTTCAAGCGAAGCACGGCACGATCCAGCTCCTGGTTGTGTTTGAAAGAACGTGCAAAGGAAACAAGAACGTGCAAAGGAAACAAAACAAAAGGTTTTTGAAAAGGTTGCAACGTTGCTTTTAAAATACACAAATGTTAAACACTTTCAGTACTGCCAAATGAAGAACTTGCGAAAGTCCTTCTTGTGCTGCGACATTCTTACCTTCCTTAGCGCCAACGCAATTCCAGACAAACCACACAAATATCATTAAACAAATCCTGTTTGGCAATCACCCCAGGCTTCTGCAAGTATCCCAAAATGGCCACATGGCGAAGGTGAGACCAGTTCTACAGACAGTCATACATACAACATCCCCGCCCGCCAAGCTTCATTGTTTCATCCAATTCCTGACAGGCCCAAGAAAGATCAGAGGAGCCCGGAAAGAAGGAAACCCGACCGGCGTTCCGGTACCTAAGAAGGGTTGAAATTGATTGCCATTCAAACTTGTGACAACGCCTTCCAACTTCCAACGTCTGAGTTTGGCAAAACCAGTCCTCCTTGTGCTTCGCCAGTGCCGCCTTCCTCGGTCTGGCGAAGACGAAAAGATCAGGGGCAAAACACACACATTCTTTTCGCACACATCCTGCGGATTTAAAAAACCAATGAAAACAAACTTTTTCATAAATAAATAAACAGGTAAAAACCCATGGTAAACCAGTTTTTAACCGGAAGCTGAGTGTCCATTCTTGCTCTTGGTCCGTGGTATCCGTCATCTTCTCGATGCGAACGAAATCGTGTTTCTCCCATTCTTGTTCAATCGAGCGCATTTTCTCTTGTAGGTCCACAAGGATGTCCTTTGCAAGCTGGTTGGATTCAAGGGCATCGACTCTGGCGGTCACACGCTCGAAGAAGCCTTCGATCTTGGCGCAAAGGTCGGCGTTCCTCCCGACATTCTGCTCCAGCGCTAACAATCTGGGCTCCAAGTTGCAAGGCACTTTTTGGTGACTGTAAGATCGAGGAATGGGCACGGACACCTCTGGACGCGGCAACGTGAGCGGTGCTCGTGCTGGAGATCTCGTCATGGGTTCGCTCATCGGCTCGAAGGCACCCACTCTGGGCTCTGCCGCGGGCTCCATGACTGTCACTTCTCAGTCACAAGGGACACAGGCTAACCTCCTTTTTGAGCTCAGATACAGGTCCTGCCAACATCACTTTCGGCATTAAAAGGTGTCAAAGCCATGAGCCGCATCAAGAGTTGCCTGAAAACTCACCGATGGGTGGCCCGGGAGCACAAAGAGTGTATCAAGACAAAACCAGAGGTAGGTGTGGGAGAAGACGTCTGAAATGACATGAATAGGTGTAGGATGATGTGATTTCGGTAGGGAAGTGTGTGTGTGTGTGCGTGTGTGCGTGTGTGTACGCACACTATGCAAAGATGCGTGTACGTAAAATGTTATGTACGTTTGCGTGTGTAGGTCGACAGCATGTAACAATGTGACACCAAGCCTCGTTGACACCAGCGCTCCCGCTCCCCAGCGACACGCCGCAGGTCCCACACGCTCCCGCTTCCCGCGATTGTTTCGGTCTGGAAGCAGGGAGTGGAAACCCCCTTTGCCGCTGAGTTGTTTGTCTTCGCCAAAGTCCAATGTTTGTCGCTTCCACTCGCAACAACCCCCAAAACAAGCGCACCAGGACCCCTACTGTCCACGGGCCATTGGACTACTGTTCAACACCATCTGGGACAGATGGCCACGACCATCCTGTCAAGGGCCATGCTGGCAGTATGTTAGTATGTTTGACAAACCTTCCCCCTTTGCCTTCCTCTTTTGACCGTTTGGTTACATACTGAACATGTGGGGAATCCGTAGAGCACTCGAAAAAATCCTAGAATCCTGGAACTTGTTGAGTACGCTATAAAAATGCTGACAAAATTGCATGCACTAAGACTGAATACTGAATTCTGTAGCTGCGCAACTCTTTCAAGAACGCAACCACATCTATCTCTCATTCCAAACAGGTCTGTCTTGCATTTTCCACAAGGAAAACAACCGGTGCCACACCTCCAACGTCCTCCACCCCCGGTTTCGCGCCGCGTTGTCCTCCCCACCTCATCCAGTAACGTGTTCGAAACGTTCGAAACGCCGGTGGTCAGGACCGCTCCTGTACGGCTTTGAAGACACGCAACTGACGCAGCCCACGCAACTGACCTAGAATCATGGTTGTTCATAAACATAGAATGAATACATAGAATGAATGGGAGATAGAATGATGGTGTTGAGGGAAAAACGAAATGCCCATGGCAATCTAGATGATGCTACTGAACGGGCCGGAACCGCCTCAGTTTCCACCATCTCCAACGATGGGACTGGCCTCCTGGAGGCCTTCCACTCTCTGAGAATAAACGCGCTTGCCACCTGGACAAACCGACCCAAACTGATTGGCCAGTGTTCCTCTCTTCGGCCTACATGAGTTCCTGTCTCTGGAAACCCTATCAAATACTTTCCAAAAACAGCAGTTCAAAGTAGTTTCAGGTAAGACTTGACACAGACTTACCTAAAGTCAGACCGGCCGGGCCGCGAGTCCCGGGAGCTTTGTACGTCAGCGGTATCTACCTCCTCTAAAGGCTATGCCTTTACCAAGACTGAGCAGCAAACATGCAAGTGTTCAATCTTCTGCGACATGTGCAATCTCAGCACAAAAATGAAAAAAGAGAAGTTGGTTTCACAGAAACAAATCCCATTCCATACCTTGCACGTCATTTCTAACCCATTGTTTGTATCTTTGGTCAGGGAAGGACAGTTCAAGGACCCCAAAAGCAAAAGCCACAGTCACGCCACACGGTACTCTTGCGCGAGCTGACATGTCCCCACTTGGACAGGGACACAAGATCTACTAAAATGTTTTTGCACATGTGCAAACATATGTTTATCCGTTTGCTAGACTGAAGGACATGATCACATGGGGTTGATCTGCAGTCTTGATGTCAAATGTTGCAAGCAACTGTAGGCCGCATTTTCTTATTTAAACCTTGCCGTTACAGACCGTAACACGAGTAGGTTAGGGAAGCAAATGGCTAGGACCCCAAACTCATAAAACCATAAAACTCATGGCTAGCGCGCCAGTTCTTGGTAGCTGGAACTGAGCTCCCAAACAATGAAACTGGCGGCCTCGATCCCGACCTGCGAATAGAACAGTCCAAGACCGCCTTTTGACCCAAGCCGCGTGGATTTGCAACAAGTCGCACGAAGTTCAAAACCAAACAAAACCCATACAGTATGTCCAAACAAATCAAACAGTCACAATCCAACCAACCATCCCAGTGGAACATGAGCCCACACTGAATCACACTCCACGGGTTTTTCACAGGTACCTTTTCGGAACCTCTTGCTGTTGGCACTTGTCGTTTCTTCGAAACTCTCAGCAAGGAATTGTACATGTGGACGGGATGATCGCTGCAGCTTTCTGGAAAACCCATTTGCACAAATGGGCATAACATGACAATTGTTCCGAATCAAAACATGTGAAGAAAAACTCCTTGAGTTGAATGTCTGAGCAAAAGCACCGCAGGGTTCCAGCTGAAAGTCCACGTACAAATAACAAACCCTAATGAACAATTTCATAATGCTGTGGACAGGTTCTGTCTCAGAACCTGCCGCCGTATTACGTCGTCAGCTTCTTCGAAGCGTTAGTAAGGACTGTGCGTGTCATCGGTGGGACTGCACCGTTCTGGCGTCCGCCCATCAACATCAGGTTCTCAGAACTCATGATTTCCCTGCTTCTGAGCGTTCCGACCGGAGGCATCGGGCGTCCGAGGTTCAAAAGATTCCGAGGGCTGAGACGTCGGGCCGTGGTCTTGGAAGACGGGGATGCGCAGTGGGCTTTGTGGTTCGGAGGTCGTCGGCTCACCATAAGCTTGAGATGGTTCAAGGTGAAAGGGCCTTGAAAGATATTGCTCGGTTTTCCCAACACGTCCACCAAGATCATCATGGAATAACCACACCTCTTCCAAACGGTCCTCCACCTCTGCTTGGAGACTCCCCACATGAGCGCGCAGTGCATGACAACTCTCCACATGCACTTTGTCACTGTAAGCCACACTGTCCTCCATTTCAGCGAGTTTCTTCTCGAAAGTCTCCAACCAGCTCTCCCGCAATTCTCGGAAATTTTTCAACTCTTGCAACTCCTGCCCATGTGTAGAAAGTGTTGCTATCCTGAGTGCCACGACGCACCAAAAAACACGATAAATGATTTTGGGAAAGTGTCAGGAAGCAAGGTTGACAATGTAGTATTTGCCCGCTCACCGCCCCAAGCGTGCACAAACAAGGAGCTGAAAGTCAAAGTGTGCACACGTGTGAGTATGTGTGTGTGTATGTGTGTCACACCCTGTCTCTAAGGGTCCTCCACCAACTTTACAATTTTTTATCAGCAAGGGGTAGCCGCAGTTCATTTGGGACTGCTACCAGCGAAGACGCCCGTTTGATCTGGTGACATCAGAGTTGGCCACTCTGACGTACGTGCTTTCAACCTTTCTGAGCTTTCTTGAACCTACGTAAGGACAAAGCTGTCTACTTCGGTGGTTCTTGCGGTAAAGAGCTACTGCAGTAAAGTGCTAATGCAACGGTGAACAATAACTTATTGAATGCGCGACCCGTTGAGCTCTCTATCTAAGTGTGTCCAGCAACATTGTCCCACTGCGGTGTGATCCCTTCGGGGCGCGTACTAATAATACTGCACACTTCACCCCTTTGCCGGGAAGGTCATGTGAAATGAATGAATCGCTCTTGCAGTCGGATTTCAGCTGTAAACTAAACTACGGACCATTTTCTTCAGATTTGCATAGGAACGGTAATTTTCAGCCTGTCTAGGATCTGAAACTTAGCTGGTGTACAGATGCCATCCGCTTTTTGCCACTTAGGTTAGGATTTATGAGTAATTCACCCGAATTCGTTCTTTCTCCCTGCAAGCCCACCGTCGCGTTTCATAGCTGCCGACGCTGCGCCGTGCTGCAGAGCCGCTGAGCTGCTGAGCTGTGACACCCCACAGCCTCCCCACACTCCATCAGCTCGCCCCCAATCATGACAACCCAACCCACGAAGGCACCGCCTGCAACCCATCCTCTTCAGGGAGTTTGGAAACCTCCGGCCTCCGGCACCATTCAGACCCCCTGCTGCTGCCGCTGTCACAGTGTGGATGGTTCAATGTCCCACTGATTGCGTTTGGGTTGGCGGTTCTCTTCATTGGGAAGAAGTGTGAGGGCACTGAGTCTGTTGGCGGACCTGTCTGATTGTGGGTTAGGAGGAGTGTGAGAGTCACTGGACGCTGTGGAGCTGGAAGTTTACCGGCGGTGGGGGTGGCGTCGGCTGCGGTGACGATGGTGATGTCTGCGTAGCAGTTGGGGTGGAGGTGTCCTGGTTGGTTGAAGGCGGTGGAGGAGGCGATGTGGCTGCTGCTGGGGTTGCAATGATTGAGTCGGTGGCTGTTGAGTCTGTGGCTGTTGAGAAGGCTGGGGAAGTTGTTCTCCTAGTTTCTGGGTCTTGCTGGACGGCCCACATTCCTCGGAGACACCACTCTCCAGGGTACCTACCCTCCTATTCCACTTGACTACTCAACTCCAGCATGCCGCCGAAGTAGCCGAGAACCTGCATATACTATCCTTCTTCGCCTGTGGCAATCCGAACTACGACATGACCAACCTTCCCACCTGACACCTTGTCCCCACCAGCCCCTATTGCCATTCGTTTTCCTTGCCAACTCAACCACACCATTGGACTCCACACCTGCGCCAGCACCTGCGGCTTCTACCCACACATGCCGCGGTCAGGCCCCACCCACGGAAATCCACGACTGGAGCGATTGGGACGGTGAACATTACATTTTCCTTGCCGAACTGAACAGCAACCCACAACTCCGCCCCAGTGGCGCTACGTATCCAGATTCCAGTTTTCCGTCAAACAAGGCCAACAACGCTGGTCCGAACTTCTGGACGTACAGCCCCAGTTTGACCTCATGAACACCGCTCGCTCCGCCTCTCCACTCCCTCTGCCTTCTCCACCAGTCCCACCCGAGCCATCCGCACACGACAGAACACCTCGACCGCCGCCGTCATCCACTTCACCGGCGGACACAGCTGCCGCCACTGCCGCCGCCGCTGCTGCTCGCGCTGACACTGACTCCGATGAAGCTGCCACTCGAGCTGCCGTTGATGAAGCTGAGAGATCATCACACACCTACTTGTGACAGGATTGCACTGTTTCCCAAAGTTTCACCTCAAGCTCCCTCGGCGTCCCCGAGCAGACTTCTCATTGCTTTGTTTGAGTTTTCACCCACTTTCTGTTTTCAAGTGTTATGCATCGCACTGTTGAGCTCGCTGACTGCTTCAGCTTTACATTCCTAACCCTAGCATTTACACTGCCACTTTGTCATATGTATCCGCCGACTCACCAGATTCTTGCATCACCTCCTGTAACGCAGCCGCTTTTTTCGCAGACGATATCTCCAACCACATCCCCAGCCACTTTTGCTTCGATCAGCGAGATCATGGCAACTCATCGCGACCTCACCAGAGGAGGCCGGCCAGACCTTCTCAACACTCAATTTGCTCCCTTTACACTACCACCACCGCTGGTCCTTCAAGGGAACCAACCCAGAAATGTTCTGCAGCTAGATCTCTGTAAGTCACACTATCTTTCCTTTCATGCATGGCTCGACTCCACGGATGGCTTGACTACACGATCAAAAACGAAAATACTGTTAACGACCATATTTTTCCATACGAAACCGGAAAATTATGCCAAAGCACTCCAAAAGATGCCGTCATGCCGAGTTGATGATGCAAAAGACGCCATCATGCTCAGTTGACGACGCAAATATCAACCAGTGCGACATCACTCGCATCACAGGGGCCCTCACGTAAGGACATTTCGCCCACCCAATTTGTCGCTCTCCCCCAGCTTCACCCTTTCAGAACCTTCCTTTTGTACCCTACGCCGCCACACACCCTCTACAGACAGAGCTTCAACCTAGCCTATCAGCTGGCTTTCGTAAAAATGTCCCTTGTTGCGTAGTTGGTTGAGTAATGCAGTCTTTAAACACCCTGAGAGGAAAGAAGATGAAACAATTGCAATGCCAGAAATGCTTTTCGTTGTGCCAGTATCACATAGTGCCAGGAAGCTAGTGAAGCAGAATTGTAACAGTAAAGTAGTTCAAACATCTTGTTGAACTAACTATTCCTGTCCTGCTTGCTGTTGTCTGTAGTTAACACAGAAGTCTCTTGCCCACCTTCCTTCCATCTGAGCAAGCCAAGCTTCAGACCAAAGATCTGCTGGTTAGTTTGATCTTGGAATGTCAGAGCGTTGGACTTCAGGGAAACGAAATCTTTCGTCATGGTCTCGAACCTGTCGTTCAAGCGAAGCACCGTACGATCCAGCTCCTGGCCATGTTTGAAAGAACGCATTGTGTCATGGCCCTTAAAGAAAGACACAAATGTCAACCGAGGACCGGCACTCCGGTCCACCCTAAGAAAATTGAAATTGATTGCCATTCAAACTTCTGACAACGCCTTCCAACTTTCACCTCTGAGTTTGGGAAAACTGCAAAACTTATAGTCCTCCTTGTGCTTCTTGTGCTTCGCCATTGTTGTCTTCCTCGGTGGCACTAGCTCCAAAAAACAACAGTGGAGATCAATCGCTGTGTTTTCACACACTCTGCAAATTACAAACAACGAACATAAAAATGTTAAGCAGCACTGAGTTGCCATTCTGAGATCTTTTTTGCCATTGTCTCCATTGCCTCCTCGTGTGTTTCCTTCCACTCTTGGAACGTTTCTGCCATCTTCTGCACCACCTGAACGAAATCGGCTTTCTCCCATTCTTGTTCAATCGAGCGCATTTTCTCTTGTAGGTCCACAAGGATGTCCTTTGAAAGTTGTTTGGATTCAAGGGCATCTACTCTGGCGGTCACACGCTCGAAGAAGCCTTCGATCTTGGCGCAAAGGTCGGCGTTCCTCCCAACATTCTGCTCCAGCGCTAACAATCTTGGCTCCAAGTTATGAGCCACTTTTGTTTGACTGTAAGATCGAGGAATGGGCACAGACACCTCTGGGCGAGGCACCGTGAGCGGTGCACGTGCCGGAGAGCTCGTCATTGGTTCACTGACCGGCTCCAAAGCACGAACTCTGGGCTCTGCCATGGGCTCCATGACTGCCACTTCTCAGTCACAAGGGACACAGGCTAACCTCCTTTTTGAGCTCAGATACTGGTCGCAAGTGACAAAAAGGGCTCTCAGTCAAAGCGTTTCCATTTTTTTTTTGAGCTCAGACACAGGTCCAAGATCTTCATCAGTCACGTCGGCTTCGTCGGCATAAAAAAGCTTCAAGCCCGTTAGCCGCATCAAGATTTGCTTATATAAGAACCAAACGACGAGTAGCCCAGGAGCAAAAAGAGTGTACACAACAAAACAAAACCAGAGGTAGGTATGGGATAAGACGTCTGAAATAAATTGAAATAACACGTAGAGGAAGCGTGTGCGTATGCAAATATGCATGAACGTGAAATGTTATGTACGTTTGCGTGTGTAGGTCGGCAGCATGTAACAATGTGAAACCACCAAGCCTCGTTGACACCACCGCTCCCGCTCCCCAGCGACACACCGCAGGTCCCACACGCTCCCGCTTCCCGCCGCCCAACACCACGGTGTCGCCACACAAACGCACGTGTTTCCCAGGTGTCACAGCGACATCACAGAAGTAGTTTCTAATGTTCAGTCACTTTTCACAGACGCAACTACTCCCACTGTTCTGTCACAAGTGACAGAAAGGGCTCTCAGTCAAAGCGTTTCTAAATTCCTTTTTGAGCTCACATCGGATTCGGCATTCGAATGTTTCAGGCTGCAGTTGGCATCAGGATTTGGTGATGAACTAGACGATGGATGGGCCGGAGCACAAAGAGTGTATAAAACAAGACAAAGCCAGAGGTATGTATGGGGTAAAAAGTCTGAGTTGACATGTATAGATGTAGGATCATGTAGCTAGGGAAGTGTGTATCTATGCAAAAATGATTCAAAAGAAACAAGAGGTTCATGTAATTTGCATATGTACCCCCCAACAGCAGCAGCACGTCGGTGGCGTACGAGTAAACCCTGCGCGACACACGAAGCTACACGAAGCTACGTGACCTAAACGCACTGAACGCGCGAGACGTCCGAACAAATTTTGACAAAGCTCAGCATTTCGTACCAACCGTCCTTGAACTTTGGAGACGTTTTTCAGCTTCCAAAATCTGAACCTTTTCGACGGGACTCTTCGCCCTATGTCCAGGGCCCAGTGGATGATGATGGTTACGTTGCAGGCCTTGTTCAAAAATAGTGGTAGTTGTTTTCGGGTCCTGTTACAGGTAAGAACGGACAGACCCAAGGTATATATGGTAATAAGCTGTGCTCCGCTCTGACATACGCATGCTAGATAACCAGCGAAGATATGCACGTGCACGTCTACATATGCATGTATACACGTGCAAGCTGCAAAGCAACACTATGCATCTGTGACAAGCAGTGCACTCTTACATATGCTCCTGTACCAAGCAAATGTAGAAGTAGCAATGTACGAGAGGTAGGTCTTCAAATAGCACGTCCTTTCAACAAAAGAACCCTTCCGCAGACTCAATGCTCACATGCTACACAAAACCCATTCTTGCAAAGTCATTCCGGAAATTAGTTGCTGTCTGACACACAGCGGAAACATGAAGAGGCAGAAATCACATGCCCAGTTGTGCCTGCAACATCTCTGCTGCAAAACCTCAGAAGACCCTTCCGAAAGAACAAGGCAGTCGTAGGATGAGGTATTCAGTCTTTTTCAAGAAGGATGCCGTTTCAATACCAACACGTCTCAATGCAGAAACAAAACAACACTGTGAAAAAAACATAAGAGCCCGGCGCCAGTGGCGCAGTAGGGCAGCTCACAACACTGGAGGCGCTGTGGTGATGAAAAAGAAATTGATTGGGCTCTGTCTTGTAATATACCATCATCGTTTGCCGTATGAACCTGCTGTGTTTTCTATCCCCTGGCTACGGCCTAACAACAAGGAGATATTGGATGGTGTTGTTGTTGGTGGAAGAAGGTCATGCTTCTAGGTCTAAGTCGAAGTGTTCCTAGACTTCATGTCTGCCGAAGCCCTTCGTGCTGTTGTTTGTTGTGAAGCTTCTGCTGTAACCATTCTGAAAGGCTTTCATTTCAGGGTACACATGCGGAGAACCTAGGCTTTCGTCCTACCATCTATGTCGGTCCAAAGAAACTTCCCGCAAGTGAAAATATCTGAGCAAATGTCTCACAGGCCAGATGTCTCACTAATCGGCTTCGTTTCTGGTCTTCGGTCTAGAAGAACTATTTGATGGTCGTTGCTACATGGATGACTGTGGTGATTCTAGAGGCCAAACAAAACACCGTCAACCGTTGAGTTGAGTTCCTCTGTCGAACGCGTCACGGTTTCGCCAGGACGACCGACCAACGCGTCCCACTTGTTTCTTGTCAGGTCTGAGCCAGACACGACCCGAATTCTGGGAACCTGACAGCGGTCTGGTGCGCGTCTTTCGACGAAGAGAAGACGCAAAAACCACCCGAAAGGTCCATGAACCACCCCGCGAAACACCCCGGAACCTAATCGAAAAACCAGCGAAACGGCGCGACTCGTCCCTAACGAGAACCCGGTCTTCTCCCCGACTCTTTGCTCAAAAGACTGCCTCTCAGTCCGACCCCGAAAGAAATTTAGCGAAGGGAATGGTGCGTCTGGAACCCGAACAAACCATCCAGCACCGATTCCTGGACCGAGCTCGCGAGCTCACGAGCTCACGTGTTCCGGACTGGACGCAAGCTGGATGCGTGGGACGCATGGGTGGACGACACCCACACAACGGCTGAAGCGATTTCGGAGGCCACGGTCGCCCGGTGCTGCTCCAAAACAGGGCAGAAACGGTCGCCGCTTCGGCACACGTGTCGCACGACGTGCGTTTCGTCGGAAGGGCCACTAGAAGCGTGTCATCACGTCGAGGTCGGTCGGCCCTTGGGCCCCATCGACTTCATCGCACGGAGGTCGGACGTGTTCGATTCGCTTCGATTCGCTTTGGCGAAAATCCGATAGCTCGATGGCTGGAAAGCACCAACAGCGTGTCGCCCAAGCGTGCTTGCGCTGTCCGCGCAGGCGCTGGTGCTTGCGCTGTCCACGGGGTGGACCCAAGCGACATGTGGCACATGGAGGCTGACGTGCCAAGTGCTAAGACCAGCAGAGGTTGAAGAACCCTATAGACTATCCTATAGGTACTCCTGTAGGGTTCTTATATGGTCACTTAACCTCTGTAGGGACTTCGGTTTTTAAAGGCAAGGGCTGAGGTGCACGGCCTGGACGGTGTGTCGACCTCGTTTGGATCCAAAGAAGTGGACCTTCCAAGACCAAAAAGGGTCTCCTAATTGGGATGTGTTCACTGCCTGGACCAGTTGGGAACCGGAAGCTGAAAAAGGCGTTCTGCAAAAACTTTACTGTTGATGGATGGGGGCAGGGAAGGAAAGGGGATGGAAGAGGACTTCAATTGGTCCATGGGAGTGATAGCCTTCAATTCGTGGTCAAGTGTCCATCATTCAGTCCAAGGGGATGGCCAGGCCACGGAATCTTCCCACACCAAGCGGCTTGGCGTTGCAGAAGGCCTCAAGACTTCTTCTACAAACACCACGCGGCTTGTCTACAAACACCACGGGGCTGAAGCAATTTTTGGAGCCTCGACGATGCGGGGAATCAGCAGAGTGGTTCTTTCAAATACATGATCTGCACCTCAACAGGCAGGCTTTGACTGGATGCCATGTTCGATTGATCATGGAAGCACTGCTAAAGCAGTAGGTCTCGGCAAGGCCTTCAATCACCCCAACTCCGCCGAGGCCTAGGCGATCCCGGTCCCCAGCACAGTTGAAACGGGAGTCACAGTTGAAAAAGGACCGATGTTTCAGACTGGGTCAGTCCTTTCGCTCCTTCCAAGGACGCAGGTCCTTCCTCGGACGCAGGTCCTTGGTCCTTGGTCTGGATTGCTTCCTTGGAGGTCCTTGAGGCAGATCAGTCCGAAGAGCGACCTCACAAACATCCCAATCATTGATGGAATCGATCGGGCTCTGCTGGTGGGTAGACCTGCCCTGCGAGCAGGGCCGATCACAAGTCTGTGACAGGAGCGGCTGTGGGTGCTGAGTCCCTCCAGCCACCCAAATGCATAAAAGGCTTGGCGTCTGGCTGCCACTTGATGTGAACGGCAAGTGGCCATTCTTGGTGCATGTTCTTTCATGCCTGTGTTTCCCTCTAGCAAAATGATAGCAGGGCAGGTTACGCTACCTCGATCGAGGCTTCACTAAAAGGGCTTCAGTAGAGGATATGAGCAAAGCCCCGAGCGCGTTCCAAGGCCATCCGAAGGTCGAACACATTGGACCACCAGAACTGCTCGATGAAACCTCGACCGATCAATTCCTGCGAGGTTCGATTCGGCCGGCAGGTGACCAGGTTGTAGTCCAGCGACGGCTCAGCGCCCGCCAGCACTCGACGGCTCAGCGCCCGTGAACTACTACGGTGACCACCAGACGGGGACGGCGGGGCTCGGCTCAATGAACTACGGCTTCGCCAATGAAACCGGTTGAAACTGTGGATCGACCTTTGTTTCAACATCATAACATATTGATTGCAATGTAAACCAACACCAAATGCTCAGAATGTGCAACACCAAATGGCGCTCCACATCTCGGACTTCAAGGATGGACGGTCTCCGAGAACGAAACACTGGCCGCCTCGGAACTGGGATCTTCCCCAAAACGGAGTGGACAATTGGACGGGTGGGTCTGCCGACTCAACTGGCACCACGAAGGTGCCAAAAGACGGACTGGTGCGATTCGTAGGGAAATAGAGGGGATGATCTGCCAATATAGAGATTCAATTTCGATCCATTTCCTCATTCCCTACTAAGCACAAGTCAGAAGAAGAATGGGTCACCAATGAGCCAAAAGAAGAATGCACCAGAATCCTGATGAGCGAACCTTCTGGTTTTGTGCAAGGACCAGCACCAGAATGCTCACCTGGTCGGCACTCTCGTTTGTTCCTAGAATCATGGCCGTCTGAATCTCCTGTCAGTCTCCTTCTCCTGAACGACCCCGATCAGTTGCAAATGGCTGGATCAAAAGC